TATTAAAATTAAATGTTAACAAAAGAAAAAGTCATAGTTCCCCTCAGAGATGGACATAGATTAGGTTGTCTTGATAGGAGTTTATGACCTACCTATTTTAAAGTCTAGTTTGTCTTAACCTTTTAAGTAATAGGCTTAATTTAGACATTTTAAAAGGCTTAATTAATTGATTAAGTCAATATTGAGCTTAAAAAAAAGCATATTAGACAGGATAGAATGGTCTATTTATAACTCATAAAATTTATAAAAATATACTTAATGATTATATATATATATATATATATATATATATATTATATTATATTAAATAAATTAAATTTTAAAATAAATAAAATCTTAAATTAAAAATTTTGATCTTTTCTGTTGAAGTTGGAGAGTACTTCTATTACATACCCTTTAAGAGAGATCGTTGTTTGCACGAGTCTTTTGTGTTATTGTTTCTTTATCTATCTTTTACACATAACATTTCTCTACATTTGTGTATGTTGCATGTTTAGTAATTCATTTATTTAAATTAAATAAGTGGTTTGAGAGTGATAAATAAAAATAGGTAATTTTATTACAAATATTTAAGATGTTGAACTATTTTTTATGACTTATTTAGATATAAGTTTTATGAATGTTATTGAGATATATCTATTTAAATGGTTTGATAACCTATTTATAAATAAGCTTGATGTTATGGATTAAAAAACTAATGCTAAAATTAGCGATGTTTAACTAAATTGGAATAGTTGTATGCTACCATCAGAAACAATATGTAAACCTTGCAGTGCTTATTTAGTGTAGTTTTCAACTATTGTTAACTTTTGAAATTCAAATGACAAAAATCAAACATGTGGCGAATACGAAATCCTAGTCTATAACTATTATTTTTTCCTCAAAGGTGGAAGATGATTCTAGTTTCACCTCAAACTGTTATGAAGTTCAAGCACTAGGGGTTAACCATAGTGGTAGAAGTTCTTCCAATGGGAGTTTAGGTGACAATAATGAAGCTAAATTGTTTCATCATCTTTGTAATGAAGACTCATCCTCAACTCATAGAGATGAGCGAAAGCCCTGAAAAAGAGGTTGAAAGCCTACCAATGGAAAGAAGAAAAGCCACTAAATCATGTTGAAGCAAAGAGACAAAGACGGGAAAAGCTTAATCAAAGGTTTTATGCCTTAAGAGTCGTTGTCCCTAATACATTTAAAATGGACAAAGCATCTCTTCTTGGTGATGTCATTACCTTCATCATTGATCTCTGGTGAAGATCAAGGTGTTGGAAATATTAAAATCCTTTTATTTGTTGACAATTATCTCAAACCAACGTTAAATTCTTTCTTTTTGTTGGCGATTGTCGCAACCGGGCGATCGCAACGGTACGACGGATGACAAACTTGTTCCAAAATATCAGAGGAGTCGCCACCAAAGTTTATTTTTAAGAAAAACCTTGGAAAAACTTAAATATAATACGATCTTTGAAACCAAAAAATGAGTTCGGGAGTCATTTACGTGTAGGGAAGGTATTAGCACCCTACAACGTCCGTTTAAAAAATGGTTACCTAAAATTAATTGTACAAAATTATTCTAATTTTGAAAAATATTTATTTAACCCCTAAACATTAATTATTTTATTTTAGAAGAAGAAATATTATTTATTGAAATATTATTCGGGTTATTTTAAAAAATATTTTGACTTGACGGGTACGGTTCACGCTCCTACGTATCCCCGGATGCAATGGGGAACTCAAAGCCACGTAGTTCTATCTAAAAATTATGAAATTAGTTGATTATAATTAAGTTTAGTAAAAGAAAAATTTATTTTAGAATTAAAATCATTTTTCGTAAAAAATTATAATGTTTAGGATACAAGATAATGCAGTTATACATGTACCCTACGAGAAAACAATACAGAAAGTGAAGGAAGATCACACAACTATACTGCAAATCATTAAGAAATATTTTATTCGTAAATGGAGTATTTGAATTTTAATTTTGATTATGATTAATATTGAAAGAAATTTAAGATAGCGTAAGCTATACATAAACTTCTTATAATTTATTAGACTATCGAAGGCAATGTAAATTACACATCGATATTATAAAAATTTATAAAATGAATAAATTATAGTAATTTGATTTATCAAAATTTGAAACATGACTTAAGAAAATAAAAAATAATAATTTTATTTGAATTGATTAAAGAAGATACTCATTTAATAAAAAACATTAAAAATTTTATTTGATAGATTTATATTATATAAAACCTAAGGTAACGTTGGTACACATAGATTTTGATAATTTATAACGCATAAAGGTAGAGTCGCTACACATTAACATTATAAATTATTTCTTAATAAAATAATTTAGATTTAAATTAGTTGATTAGTTTGTAAATTAGTATTTAGAAGAGAAATACATCTTACATTATTATTAAAGTGATTAACTAATTAATTAATGACAATATGTGATAAGTTAATATTGCATAAAGTCTTGGTAACGTAGGTACACATAGACTTTATCAATTTATAATACATGACGATAGAGAAGCTATACATTAGTATTATAAATTGATACAATTATATTATTATTTATTAATTAATTATAAAAAAATAAATAATTTAGTATTCACAATATAAAATAAAATAATCATAAATATAAAATTAAATCGCATTAATATGATACAAATATACAATAAATAAAATAAAAGATGACAATCCTAAAAAATAAGATATAAATAATGAAATATAAAAAAAGAAAATAATTTAAAAAAAATCAACTCAGATATGATATTGTAAAGTAAACGGTATCAAGAGATTTTAAATAAATAAAATAAAATAAAATAATTTAAACAAAGTTAACATAAAAAAATAAAATAAATAATAAAAACTCATTCATTAAATAAATTAATAATTATCATAATAACAAATAATAATGATGATGAATAAATAAATAAAACTAAAACAATAAATTATATGTTGAACTAAATAATGATAAAAATAAAATAAATAAATAAAATTTGGACAAAAAAATAATAAAAAAATAAAAAAATGATAAAATGGTCTCAAATTTTAAATTTTCAGATTTGAGAGGGAAGGACTTTAGGGTTAGGGGTGTGCTTTTCTCCAAGAAAAACAAAAAAAGGTTATGAAAGGGTGGAGGTGAGGTTAATGGAGGCCATGATTTTGAGTGGTGAAGGTTATTGAGAGCAAAAGGAAGAGGAATGAGACAAGGTAGGGAAAGAGTTTTTTTATAGTGAGTTTTGTGTTTGTGGATGATGATAGATGGAGGAATGAGTGGAGAGGTGGTGAGACACGGATATTTGAAATGGTGGTTTAAAATATATTTTTTTTCATTTGAGATTGATTTGATATAGGAAATGTTTATTCAAAATATAAATATGTATGAAGAAGAAAAATGTGTAAAATGTATGATGAAGCTTACTTGATGTTCTTGAAAATTTTTGCTTGCCTCTTGTTCTTCCTCCTTTCCACTAACCTTTCTTTCTCTCTATTTTCTCTTTTTCTCTCCCCGTTTTAGAATGCCTCCTCTCAAAATTTTTTTAGCCTCCTCTGATGTCTCTCCCTGCTCCATGGTCCTTTTTTCCTTTTATTGTTAGGGTTTTCACCAAAAGGCCCAAAATTCTGAATTTTTCCTTTTTTATGTATAAAGTAACATTGGTTTAAAAATTTAATTATTTGTCATATTCTATTTTCCTTTTAAAAATTAATTCTGAAATTTTTCTATTTTATTAAGACAAATTTATTTTTTATTTTTTTTTTAAACCTTTTGATTCCATTCTTCTTTTGTAATATTAAAATTTAGATTTTTTTATTTTTTTATTTTTTCATTTTTATTTAAAAAATAAATAAAAAATTTAAATCAAAATTTTAGTGTTCACAGCGATTATCTTAAACTAACATTAAATTCATTATTTTTATCGATGATTATCTCAAATTGATGTTAATCCTTTTATATATTGGCGGTTGTCTCTAATCGATGTTAAACTCCTTATTTTTGCTGAGAATCGCAAAAATCAATGTTTAATGTTATCTTTTGAATATTTTGTTGGCAATTATTGGTAACCAACGTTAATAAACTAATGCTAGATGTTGCAGTTCTTGTAGTGAGTACATTTCTGGTTATTTTACATGCTAATAAAGTTTTGGCGAAGGAACATAGGATGATTAAAAAACTAAAATTGTTGAAGTGACAATACTACTTAATTACAAAACTTTTTAGAAAATAGTACTTTTGTGTCTAATGGATATATTATATGTTTCTAACATTCACTTGGTTTGTAACTCTATAAAAACTCCATAAAATAGAGACATATACAACCACGTAGTAATAAGAGATACTAGATGATAATATGTTGTTTGAAAAAAGTACCATAACATTCTATTGTAGAGCTTTCTTAAAAATCTTTAGATGATCTATCAATTTTTTTTACGTGTGATTTTGGTGAGGTAACCTAAATAGGAGTTATAGAAAACTTAGGATTAAGCATGGAGTGAACTATCGTTTTCATCTCTATCACTTGTAGAATTCATCAAAATAATTTGTAAATTAAGCAAAATGTTATTTTAGTTCCTAATGGACACAGTCATCAATCATTTACTAGGGTGATAAAATAAGAAAATTGTTGAAAAAGAAATACTTGAAAGGGTTGATTTCAATTGCTTGAAAACTTTGACAAAGATATGTTGTAGTGCTTTTGTATAAGCACTATTCTATTAAGGAATAAGGAGGAATAAATTAACTACAAGTCTAGAATAGCATGAAACTCAAGTCTATGATTACTCTGGGGCAAGATAACGATCGATCTATTGGTTAGAGCTTCACAACATTAAACAAACAACAATACTATTATCACAAAGGTTTCATCACAACACGTTTACCACCGCATTAAGCTTGAGCTGGCATACAAAGGTTATATATATATATATGAAGCATTCAAAACTTCTTGTATGCCAGATATATATATATATATATATATATATATATATATATATATAACCATAAGGGTGGGAGCACAGTTAAATTTCTATCCCTGATAAGCCTTTGCAACCAAGAACATCAATCCACTCAATTTCCGCAACCAGCTCGCCACGCTCCACATTTCTCAATCTCAAAATCATTTCTTGGATGATATTTCCATTTTGCCAAACGCAAATGCTCTCTTCAGCAAGGCAATTAGTCCTATTTGGTTGAATCCTCTTCACTATGGAACCATTCGGGAGATTGTTCAAACCCACTTGAAAACATTGAAGATATGGTTTTAAGTCTATATCTGCCTCACCCATTTTGTCATCCACAGTGAATGTGTCTTTGTCATAAACCGTCTGCAGAGAAAATAAAATGCAAAAGCAATCAACAAACAACTCTTTTACGAAGCTCATCAAAAGAGGTGACACCACAAAAAATTATTCCTATTTACAATGCAAGTTTAATTTAGTATGATATATTATATATACTAACAAACAATTCTGTTTGTGTATTAGAAATTGATATATACCGTGATACAAACTCAAAGTATTTATACTAACAATTTTATTTTTCTTCTAACCCAACAATAAAGTTAAATGACAACATTTTTTAGTATGAAAATCGAAAAAAACTAAATCAAACTTTAAAAAAGTTTTGTTTTGTAATTTTTGGTTAATGATTTGTTTAATTTTTATTTTTTTCAGATCGACTCTTGACAATTTAGAACACCTTTAATTGTACATGCACAATGTTTATATTAACAATTCAATTTTCATTGGACAAAATTTATGTATATAAAGACAAGATTAACAACTAATATTTTTCGTTAGAATATGACAATTTTTTTTGTAGTATTGTTTCGAATTTGGATAAGTACTTACCAGATGTATTGGGGTGTTAACATCCTTTATAGAAAGGGTCAGTTCTTCATCCCACTCAGGATTGCAGTTGTTTTTCATGACACGAGTCTTCAGCTTCTGCATCAATAAGAAATTAATCCTCAGACCAATCAACAACATAAAATATCACAAATGATTTATGCCAGTTATATTACATACAAGATATATATTAATCCATGCACAAAAAAATTGGAGCTAGCCGTTTTTATTTTTCCTTTCTGTGAACAAAAAATTTGACTGTAAAATAAAAGCAAGATAACCTCAAAATAGCACATTTTTCCAGATGCTTAAATGCATATTCATACAGAAAGCTTTCATTTTTGGTAACGTTGACTTTCTCTTCTGTGGAAAATAGTTATAACCTTTCTCTCAATATAACGATTTTTCATTGTTAATATAATTATTCTTACTTATAATTTTGTAAATGTAAAAATAATTAAAGAGTTTTAAAAATTATATTTTGGAAACTTCTCGACATCGTACCCAACGAAACAATATCACAAGATCTCACAAGAAAAACTTCACGACACAAGATGAACGAAAACAGTTAAAATTGTTGTTCGAAATTATTCAAAGTGAACTCAACGAAGAGGCTAGAAATTGCAAGGTTAGAACCTGTTCGGCCACGTTGACAATGACATAAGGGTCGCTGGTGGCGCGAGCATCGCGAATTGCGAGATTAATACCTCTTTTAAGTCGAAGTTTGAGGAGACCCAGAATACAACTGTCCATTGTTATAAAACCACTGTCCATCGTTAAACAAAACAAAACAAAACAAACGAGAGGCTTTGGTTGATGTTAAACACGAGTGAAACTGGGGAGTTACAACGCGTTAAATTAAAGCATGAGTTTGTTTAACATGCCAAAACCAAAGCACCTAATTCTACAAAGGGAATCTTGAGACATTTTAATATAATGATGCCTTTGGCGTGTCCAAATTCTACTCGTTCAAAACGAAACGACGAAAGAAAAAGAGAAAGTGAAAGGGGAATGAAAAGACGCGAAGAGTTAAGATCAGTTTTGGCAGGTAATGGAATTTGTGATTCTCGTCCATGCAACAACGCTGTTCTCTCGCCCTATTGCTTGTAGGATCGCAAATATCCGCAAATTTTTGTTGTAAAAGAGACATTGCTCCCATGCCTTTTAAGAGTATTAATCAAATAATTGAAAAATATATATTTAGAATTCTATTAAGATGTAATCATAAATATTGTAAAAGTATATTAATAATTAATAATATTTTTCAAAAATTCTATTTTTTACTTTATATTCTCAAAATACTAAAAAACATTTGTCATAAAAATTATCTTGCCTTAAATAAAATTTTGATTCTTAAAAAATTGCAATTTTTAATTTCTTTTGTCATTATAGTTTTTTAAAAAATAATTTTTCCAATAATTTGTTAATCATTTTCTCTATTTGTGTTATATCTAATTTATTTCGTATAATATAACATAAAACTAATGTAAATGATGATGGCATTTATTTTTTTATATTATAATATCTCAATTTGAAAATTTTTAACCTTATAGCTTATAACTTTATTAAAAAATATAAATGATATTATATTGTTAATGAATCAGAGAATTAAATTAAGAAAAAAAGAATCGAACACAAAAATTTGAATTTTTTTTTTTTGTAGAGCTAAAATTTTATTTAAAGTAACTTTTTTACTTGCTTTATATAAAACATGTATGATCAAGAAATTTTGAGAGTAAAACTAATATGTTCCAGGCAATAAAACGTATATTCTTAACGGTGTGTTCCTGAAATTTTAGCAATAGAATAAGTTATTTGGTTTGAGAAAATATTTTTTATTATATAAATAATTATAATATACTATTTTTTATTTATTTTTAAAAAAAATTGTGTAAAATAAAATAAAATAATAAAATTCATATTAAATTGTTGTTTTTGTTTGTAAATAAGTTTAACATGAAATCTAATTTTAATTGATAGAAATGGTGTTGGATATTTTATGTATATAGACGGGCATTGTAATACCTTAATTTAATTTTTTAAATAAATAAATTTTGCAATGAAATGAGAGTAATAAAAATTTCATTTAAATGGATTTCAATATATGGTTTCAATAAAGTGTTTCAAAATAAGGATGGATTACAAATTTGAATCAATCATTGCTACAGGACTTAATTAATACATCATAATTTCAAAAGAATAATTTCTTAAGTCCTATAGTAGTTTCATCCACCTCTTCATTGAGTTTAGTACTAATCGTCTTGATCACCTGAAAAATAAATGTAAGGATGAGTACTCTACACTATCACATAAGCACATTTCACATATTTACTAACATAATTCAAGTCAAACATCAAACAGGCATAAAATAATACATTTCAACATTCCATTTTGATTCACATACAGGTACGATCACTGCACCATCAAACAATCCACATATAACATCCACGTGTACTCACTGCACATTAGTCACACTCACTGTGGCACTGTGATCACAGTTTCCTGATGCCCTCAACCTCAGAAACTTACTCAATTTCACACCATGGATAGTTACCGATTAGGCCCCCTCACGAATACAACGTGTGCGGTCATGGACCCCTTAGCAAAGGTGTTAGTCAGAGGCCGATTCAAAGGAGAGTGTGTGGCCAGACCACCCTCTCTTCTTCAAGGTATTTCTACCGATCCCATGTTCCACACCCCCATTGTATCGCTGTAACCATTCATAGCTTCCAACATATTCAAACACAACCACAATCAAAATCACATGCCATTCATGCATATTCACCCATATTTTTAATCGTATCATGGCATTCATTCTCACCCAATAGCATATTCCCACATATCAACTACATTATACTCAAGCACACAAATTTCATCACTATCCTATTGCAAACAAGTCATTTTATCACACACAACATCCATTATCCATCACAATCTAATCAAAATCAAATCATTCTCATCACACACATTATCCAATCTCTACCACATTATGCTCAAACACACAATTTTCATCAAAACACACATTTTTTCACCTTCTATTTCAATCACAACTCAACAAATAACAACATAAACAAATTTTGTAACACAAAGAGATAGGGTAGAGTCTCCTTTACCTCGAATTGAAGACCCAACACGAAATCAACAATGGAAACGCTTCTCACACGAATTTTTGTCCTAAACACATGGTAAACTCCATGAAAAACCAAGAAAATGAAAGAAAGGATGAAAAATGAAATCCTAATCCATACTACTTACCTCTAAACGTCTCAAAATGTAATTTCAACCTTCAATCTAGCTCACGAACAGCTTTAGAGGCAGTTTAATCGGTGAGAATAGGTTAAGAATCAAGAGAATCGAGAGATGGATGAAGAGAAAGAGTGAGAAATGAATTTCTCAAATCCTAAACCCCTTAAATACCCTATGAGTCACGATACTCTCGCTACAGCGAGGCAACAAGACCCCTTATCTCTTCGGTGAAAATCTTAGACAAATCTGCACTCAAGTTTCTGCAGAATCTCGCTACAACGAGGCCTTCTCGCTACAGCAAGACTGTACCCAGAAATGCACCCTCCTCTGTTGCCCTCTCACTGCAGCGAGAATGTAATAGATTCATGTCCTATGCCCCGGGCCTTTTTGCTATAGTGAGAATGCCCCTGCATCACACACTTAGCCTACATTCCAATCCAATCACAAGTCCTCATTCAGCTTTCAACCATAATGCACAAATATATATACATCCACATGCATTTACACATATACACATCACCACACAAGTCAAATGCACATTTCACTAGTAATCCACATATTTATATGGGGAAGGATCTTCTTACACCAGTGTAAGTCTAAAAACTCTTACACTCAGTCTGAGCCTTTTATTTAACTTAAATCTAATGGCAAGTGAAGTAATAAATTATAGCCCATTATATTTAAGTTAAATGAAAGGCTCAAATTGAGTGTAAGAGTTTTTATACTTACATCGGTTTAAGAAGATAAGCCCCTATTTATATTAATAACCAAAATATCATTACCAAAATTCAAGGCATTATAGGCATAAATCAATTTTTATAATTAATTTAATCTAATTCTAGATAATTGGATGTTAAAATATTAAACTATGTTATTTAGCCTATATTCTTATTAATTATCGTAATTGGACTTATTTGTGATAACTTTATTATCAGTGGATATGTTTTTAAGTAAGTTTGATTCATCCCGTTTTTAACTAAAGAGACTTAGAAAATTTTACAGAAATTTTTTTACCTAAACCCATGCATATTTTATTTGCTGAAGTAGACTGAAATACTGTAGCCCAAATTTGCAATTCAGAATTCAGTTCCCAAGGAACCGAATTCTGACTTAGCCTTTTTTTTAACTTAATTTTATATTTTTATGTAATTAAATAAATATTATTATTTAAATTATATTTATATATTTATATTTTATTAATTATATATATTAAAATAAGTTTTATTATTTAAATTATGTTTATATTTTTATATTATTTGAAAATGAATAAAAATAATAATAATATTTATTTTACATGTTTATTAAAATTTATTTTACATATTTAAGATAATAAATAATATTTTTGTTTTTCTTATTATATTATTTAATATAATTTTATTTTTTGAAAATGGTATTAATATTATATTCTGAAATTATATTTTTAGTTATTTAATATTATCTTTTTTTAAAAAAATAAAAATTATAATAAAAATTTATTTAATTTTATATATTTATTAAATAAATAAAAGTATCACATAATAACTAGTTTATTTATTTATTTTGAAATATTAATCTTGATTAAAATTTATACATAATTATTTAATTAAAAAATATTATTAATATTAATAAACATAATTAAATAATATTATGTAGATATATTATATATTTAATATAAATTACAAATACTAAAAATTTAAAAGTAGCAATGACATTCATAAAATTAAAAATGACACTAAGAAAGTTTTAAAATAATAACAAAATAAATCAATGGCGAGAACTAGAAGCTTGAATGATGTTTGGACATATCTTCCTTATGTGACCAAGGGTGTGACAATAAGAACAATTTTTTGCCCGACTTTGTTGTTCTAGCAACTTTTCAATTCCTTAATAAAAAATCCAAGATTGTTGCCTTCTTGTCAGGATGTTATTCTAAAAAGAAGCTAAAAAATAATCTAAAAGATGTTCTCCTGCTTCTACAAAAGCAAGACGAAGCAGAATCTTCTACAAAGAAGGAATCTCAATCTAAAACAAATGCCAAAGACTTCTATCAAAATGAAGATGACTATTTCAGTATAGATATTCAAGAATTATAACTTGTACTATAGACTAATACTTCCTGTTATCAACTAAAATTGAAGAAACTGTATTTTAATTTTCTATATAAGGTGTAACACCTTAAATTTTAATTTAAATAAATAACAATTTCAGAAAATTAGAATAATAAATTTCCACAAAATATTTCAAAAACGAGGAAGGATTACAATTATCATATCAAACAACTGCTACAGGGCTAGCTCAAATACAACAAATTTCAAAATATTATCCTCAGCCCCATAGTAGTTCATCCGTCCCTTCACTGTGTCTGGTGCTGATCGTCTTGATTACCTAAAATATAAATGTAAGGGTGAGTACTTTATACTACCAAAATACAATCAAACATAAAGTCTCACTTTCAAGACATATAAATATGTTCAGCAGATACACAATACTCAGAAATAACTTTTCAGTACAGTTCATTTCATATTAAACATC